GGCTTACTGATTCTTCTAGAAGAACCAACATTCTTAGGAAAAACAGGACATTTCACTACCTATTTTTGGTTTTAAACTAAATCTATTAATATTTTACTTACTTATTAAAATAAAATTAAAGTAAATAATACATTTATTGTTAAGTAACAAATAGTCTATTCTCATTTAAGCCAAGTAAATGAGATAGCTCACAGTAAGGACTTGATATGCCTGCCATTTGGTAAATAACAATTTACCGATAGTGTTGGTTTACTAGCCAGATATGGATATGAAAATATAACTGTGTGAGAAGACACTGCAAACAGTCACCAGGATGTGAACACTGCCAAGTGATCTTGCTGGGGCATGGGGTGGTGGAAAGGAAAGAAAAGTAGGAATGTTAAAAAACAGGGTTTCACTGAATTGATAATTTCTATTTGCTTTCAGAAACTAATTTACCCCATCATCATCAAGTTGCTTATTATTATTATCTATCACTATTACTATCAGTTGAGGATATTCATACCTTATCCTAAAGGAGAAGCAACATCTAAGGTAAAGTAATATACAAGTCTCATCCATTGCCTGTCACAACAATATGCACAGTTCATAGCCACTGTTCATTTTTTAACTACTAAATGTATTCATTAGATGTAGGAATATTAATTGTGCTCAATTTAAATTTAAATATCTATTAATTTGTATAATAATTATAAATATAATTGAAATTGTCATGTTATAAATAATAGAACTAAATATGTTCCAAGTTTTGCTGGGGAGAAAATTTATACTCTATATATCTGAAATTCAGCAAATGTGAACCAGAGACAAAGCGGGGACATGCTGAAATAAACATTTGATACTCAGATTGCATGTCTGATTATTCCCATTTGGACAGAACTTTCCAGGCCTTAGCATACAATCCCTTAGAATTCTCACATAGGAAAACAACTAAAACCAGTACGATTACACTTCTCATTAATAGGTAAGTGGCCCTCACACAGTAAATAGACATAATACTGTCCATGGGACACTATTATCTTTTTGTTTGAGGCTAGAAATGTAAAAACAAATGAAAGTGTCAAAAAAAGACCTTCCTGCCTATATAACTTGAGACCAATAATATAGAGTACAATCAAATAACAATATATAAAATAAAAATATGTCCTTTCAATGCTGTTTTAGGTAAAACTGTATTCACCCTAGGTATTGCCTATTAGGGGTAAAATACAACCAGGCACGTATCCTAAAAAGAGTGAGAAGAATATGGGGCTTCTACGTTACATTAGGAATACCCAAATGGACACAGAAGCATTTTCCAGAAAATGGAAAAAAAATGTGTATCTCTTCTAGACATAGACCCAGGCCTAAGGATTTGAGTTGTAAAGAAAATGACTTATGTAGAGTTATACTAAGAACTTAAGAAATAAAGCTCTCTAAATGTGTGTGGGGGGTACCACTGGATATACAGAGATCTTTATAATTAACAATATTAAGAAAGAAGGCTTTCTAAGTGTGGAAAAGGTGCCACTGGAGATACAGGGATCTTCATAATTAACAGTATTCTGGCATACACAGGAGAAAAGGAAGAGAGGGCTCACAGGAGAACCATCAGCCTAACTTGCTCTTTTTCAACTTGGCTAGTGTAGGATCAGAGACTGTCTAAGTGATAAAACCATTTATATACGTTATCTATTTACCTTCACAACACATAGAACACCCTCATTAGTCTCTGGGTCTGTTGTGATTTTGAATCGTCCATTTTCATTTCCTTTTAAGATGGTAAAATTTGCCTTCCAGTTTGCACTCTTAATCAAGTCCTTATCATCTACAGGTATGCGCAAGATTTCAACATTATATGTGTTTTCTTCCACAGAAGTTTCATACTGGAAGAAAAGAAAGCCATTAAAATTTTAACTTGCTATAGAAAACTTTCCCAAAGTAAAATATTTCCTAATTTCCAAAAGAAGTTGTCTTCGTGGTGTTTATATAGATTGTCTAAAAGCACGGTCACAGATAGTACTGTTTCATGAAACTTTAAGACAAAGAATATTTCCTACAAATGTAGACTGAGGTTATTGCCCTTCAACAAAGGGTAGATAACATAAATACTAATATCAGTAAACAGAGGCCATGTGTAGATGTGTATACTATATATTTGTTTTTGTTTTAATTTAAATTAGAGTCAAGCTTGTTTTATATGTCACTCCCAGTTCCCTCTCCCTCCCCTCCTTCCCTGTCCCCTACCAACCCCCTATCCCATCCCCTTTCTGCTCCCAAGGGAGGGTGAAGCCTTCGATGGGTGATATTCAAAGTCTGTCATATCATTTGGAGCAGGGCCTACACCCTCCTCCATGTGTCTAGGCTGTGAGAGAGTATCCCTCTATGTGGAATGGGTTCCCAAAGTACATTCATATGCTATGGATAAATACTGATCTACTACCAGAGGCCCCATAGTTTGCCCAGGCCTCCTCACTGACACCCACATTCAGGGGTCTGGATTGGTCCTATGCTGGTTTTCCAGCTATCAGCCTGGAGTCCCTGAGCTCCCTCTTGTTCAGGTCAGCTGTTTCTGTGGGTTTCTCCTGCCTGGTCTTGACCCCTTTGCTCAACACTCCTCCTTCTCTGCAACTGGATTCCAGGAGTTCAGCTCAGCGTTTGGCTGTGAGTGTCTGCTTCTGCTTCCATCAGCTCCTGGATGAAGGCTCAGGTATACTGTGTATTTGAACTGCAGTTTTATTCATAAATGAACACATGCCTCAAAGTATGCCAAAAACCTTATAAGCCCAGATTAGTAGACAGAAATAGATAGAACAAAGATAGATTTTTTTTCTAAACTTACTCCATTTTGTCTGAAAGTGGGCGCATTGTCATTGGAATCTTGCACTGTTATGATACAAGTTGATGTACTGATCAGTCCAAAAAATTGGCCATTCATGTCTTGGACTTTCATTATCAATGTATACTTGTCTACAACCTGAAAGTAAAACAATTATTTACTTGACTCAGACACTTGTTTAGATTTGTAAATGAAATCAGTGTTGCACATTCTTTCGCTTGTTTTTATTTGATTTTTATGTTTGGGTATATTCTTAAAATTTGGTAGAGAAAGATAATTCTGAAAATGTAGCACTTTACAAAACAACAGACTGAGAATTTAGACATTTTCTAACAGAAAAAAAATGAAAGTCAGAGATAGAGTACAGAGTAATGACATTTTGAGTTTTATAATGTGCTTCAGAAACTGTAAGCATTGTCTAGAGCAAGGACCCACCTGTGGGTCATAACCCCTTTGGGTTGAATTACCATTTCAGAGGAGCCACATGAGACTATCAGAAAACACAGATATTTACATTACAATTTATAACAGTAACAAGATTACAGTTAAGAAGTAACAGTAGACATAATTTTATGGTAGAACTATATTAAGAACCACAGCATTAGGAAGGTTGAGAACCACTGGTCTAGAGTAAGCCAACCTAGCTTCACGGTGAACAAACAGGTAGGGTGCCCCTACACTAACAGGTGGTCCAAACCTGAGGCAGTAAAAGCAAAAGCAAAGGGAAAAGGAGATGAAATGTGCTTAGGAGTTAGAGTAGAGTAAGATTCAATAATCAATTATCAACTTAAGAGATAAAGAGGTGGTGATGGACAATATGGTAGGTCAAGTTATATAGTAGGTAGATAAGGCCACCACTTGCCATCATGGGAGGTCCAGAATGAGATAGCTCATTAAGGGCAGCAACATTACAGAGGAGGATGAGGAGGGCTGTGAATATGAAGGGAGTTTTAGAAGGTGAAGGATCTTATTTGCATAATGAGATCTAATAAATACATGGGTGGCCCATCCCTTATGGCAGGAAGTAGCAATAGGGAGGCACCCTTCCAGGGAGGAGGTAGAAGCATGAGGAAGCTGAGACGTGATGAGTAACAGCCTCCTCAAGCACAGGGAAAGGGAGACAACTAAGCAAAGAGTATTAATAAGCAAATGACAAAGAAGCAAGATGAGAACCATGAATCCAAGGTAAAAGGCTTTAGTGAGTGCCAAGCAAAGAGACTAGAAGAATCCTAAATTTGGCCATTGAGAGGTTATAGATGACCACTGAACATGGAGTAGTGATCAGGACATGAAGAGATTTGTCAGAGATACAGTCATTGGTGGTGTCTTTTCTTTTGCTTTACCCTTCTGCATCCACTCCTTCTGTTGGTTGTTTTCATTTCTGGGGTCTTCCTCTCATCCTTAAGTCTTCTGTTTATGTGCTCTCCCTTTCTTACTACAAGTCAGCATTCTCACCGAGAGGCACTCCTCCAGTGGTCCCCAAGACACCGGTAACCTGTGCTTTTCATCTAACTTCCATAATTTGTTATCTCCTTTGCTCATTAACATCTTCACTCTCTATATTGCTCTGCACAAAATGGGACTTTGACCACACAAAGTCCCATTACATTTTTGTTTGCAGCCTGAGACTAGATCAGGTTTGGGCCTTTAAAAGTGTGATAATCAAGTCTTATAAATTTATTTCATATTCCTTAGCCTCATCAATTTTAATCTGTCAGATGGGGGAAGCCCTCTCTTCAATTAATTAACATACCCATTTTCACACTAGAAATGTATAAAAATATCCATATGATGGCTTCCAAATTTCCCATTTGTTGCTGTGATGATTAATCTCCATCACCAGCCTGATGGAATCTAGAATCACCATGGAATCAAACATCTAGGTATATCTGTCTGTGAGGGAGCTACTGGCTTGGATGAGCTGAGATGGGAAGACAACCTAAATGTGGGCAGCACAGCTCCAAAGGCTGGGCCCGGGCTGCATAGAATGAGAAGCAGCTGAACAGCAGAATTCCTATCTCAACTCCTGCTGTGAGTGCCCTTGTGACCAGCTGCCTCAAGGTGACCTGCCACCATGATTTCCTTCCCTGATGGACTATACCGTTGAACTAAATCCCTCCATCCTTAGGTTGCTTTTATCAGGTATTTTGCTGCATGGAAAGCAACTAAAACAGTATTGCTCAATGCTTTACCACATAAATGTTCCAATGTTACAAAAAATCTAAATGATAGAAACAAAAACTTTTGTACTAGTTTATATGCTTTCTATAGAGTCCCACGTTCTTTCCTCTTGTCTTTGGACTCACACTCCATTGATTCCTTCCATACCATTTGTCCTTGTCATAGTAATCATTCTAGGTACATTGTTCTAGCTATAGTGCAGACAGACCCTAGAAGCACCCCAACAGAGTTATTTTACACATGTGATTCATCTTCAGTTAATAATTCTTGACTCTGAGTTAAACAGGCTGACCAGAGAAATAATAACAAAAGATTTGAAGACTTCTTGAAATAATTTGACTTGGGTGAAAGAATAAATTTTTCTACCATATTTCTCTTATGTAGATTGGATATTTATTATACCTTCCTAATCAATCAAGTAGATAATTCTAAATTCACATAAAGAGGTTGAATACAATTACCACACACAGGACCATATACTTTTATTAATAAATTTAATTTAATTTTATCCCAACTAATAGTTTTCTTTGATAAACTACACACAGATAGAACTAACTGAATAGGGATTAGAATAAGCACTATACTCATCAAAAAAAAAGCTAAACCTTAGTGTGCTGCATGATGACTGAAGATTTTACTTCTCTGAAACCAACTAGCCTCACACTTTAAAGGAAATAAAATGATAAGCAATAGTTTTCCTAAGAAACACATTGTATCTTCCCATTTAAACACAAATCATTAAGAAAAGTTTCTATTTCTTAATGCCTCTCTTTCATATGGAAATAAAAATATTGTTTAAAAACTAGGAAACATTTCAGGAATTCATAATTTCTTATACTTCAGATAAAATACAAAATAGCATAGCAAGTTATAGTAAGTGGGAAAGAGTTAAACCCACAGTGGAATGATTTTTGAAAGTAGGGACCTTACCTCTCTGTCCATGTAATGAGAGACGGTGGTGATGATGCCGGTATCAGGGTGCACAGAAAAGAGCCCAGGTGACCTTGGGTTCTGCTCCAAGATGCTGTACTTGAGGCGTGTGTGCATCGTGTCAGGTTCATCCATATCTGTGGCACAAACCACTCCAACTACAGTACCTGTGTGTTAAAAAGCAAATTTGAACTCCCAGAGCAGCAGAGTGTGCTTGGTCTCTACACTTTTCAACTTATCAGAGTGACGACAGTGGAAACCTAATTTAAAATGTGAATCTACCCAAATGGATCACAACGTTAAACAGACTATAGAAAGAAAAAGTCTAATGGAGGATCCAAACATTCTGGCATTGAGAGTCACAAATTAAAATTTTTATAGTAAATTACCAAAAACTAAATATGCGTCTATTGTAAATTCAGAGCAGGGCATGGGTGTTACCCTTGTATTATCAGCACTAAAGAGGCTGAAGCAGGAAGATTGAGAATTTGACATCAATCTGGGCTATACAGTAAAGCCCATCTTAAAAACAAACAAACAAGGATAAAATAATTTCAACATGAATTCCAACATATTGTAATAATAAGTCCTAAAGTAATTCAGTCTTTTACCAGACTTAATTGTTAAATTAGGACTCATTTTAGTATAGTTACGTAAATGATCAAATTGATTTTTAATTTAATTCATTAATTTATTGGGGGATATACCAAAGCACATATAGAATAGAGGACAATTTACAGGAATAAGTTCTCTTCTATCAAATGGGTCCCAGGAATCAACTCAGGTTGTTGGGCTTGGTGGCAAGCTCCTTTGCCTGATGAATCATAACGTAAGTCCTCAGGGTGACCTTTTTAGTCTACCTCTTCATCTCCTGCTCATTTGAAAACATTCCTCTGTGTCTCTTTCTTGCTCACTTCCTTGCTTTTTCTGCTCTGATTTGATTTATTTTTATTTATTTTTCTTCAAGAGCTACACAACATTAATAAGTCAGAACCTAATGGTAGGTGTGCTTCAAGTAACCCAAGTGTTTAAGCCTAAGTGTTTGTCCTTAATCTCAAGGGAAAACTGAAACCAATCAAAAATACCAATGACAATCTATGTTGGAGAGGATGTGGAGAAAAAGGAACACTCCTCCATTGCTGGTGGGAGTGCGAACTTGTAAGACCACTCTGGAAATCAGTATGGTGGGTGCTCAGAAAAAAATGGGAATCAGTCTACCTCAAGATCCAGCCATTCCTCTCTTGGGTATATACCCAAATAGTGAATGTTCATACAACAAGGACATATGTTTAATCATGTTCATAGCAGCGTTGTTTATAATAGCCAGAACCTGGAAGCAACCTAGATGCCCCTCAACTGAA